GCGGGGGCGGGGCCAAGGACCCGGGGGCGGGGCCAAGGAACAGGGGCGGGACCAAGGAACAGGGGGAGGGGCTAAGGAACAGGGGGAGTGGCCTGGGGGCGGGGCCAAAGAACAGGGGGCGGGGACAAGGAACAGGGGGCGGGGCCTGAGCTCGGGGGCGGGGCCAAAGAACAGGGGACGGGGACAAGGAACAGTGGGTGTGGCCTGTGCCCGGGGGCGGGGCTAAGGAACAGTGGGCGGGGCTTGGTCCCGGGGGCGGGGCTAAAGAGCTGGGGCCTGAGTCTGGGGGCTTGGTCAAGGCAACGGGGGTGGAGCCTGAGCCTGGGGGTGGGGCTAAGACACCAGGGGGCGGGGCCTGAGCCTGGGGGCGTGGCCAATGCACCGGGGGTGGAGCCTGGGCCTGGGGGCGGGGCTACCTGGTGAATAATAAAATGGCGCCAGTGGATGACGTCACGCTGACGATGATGATGTCACCCCGATTCCATCGTCCCAACGACGCCGTGATTGCGCCGCGGCGATGACGTCACCGCCGTGACGTCACCCCCACCCCCCCCTCCATGTCCCCGCCCCGCCGGCGCTACGCGGGCGACGTCACCCCGATGACGTCACCCCCATGACGTCACCCCTATGACGTCACCCCGATGACGTCACCCCGATGACGTCACCCCAGTGACATCACCCCGATGATGTCACCACAATGACGTAACTCTGATTACTTCACCCAATGACGTCACCCCGATCACGTCATCACGATGACGTCACCCCATGACGTCATCCCCATGACGCCATCCCCATGACGTCACCCCGATGATGTCATCGCAATGACGTCACTGTGATGATGTCACCACAATTACGTCACCCAATTACGTCACCCCATGACGTCACCCCGATGATGTCACCGTGATTACTTCACCCCGATGACGTCATCCCCATGACATCATCCCAATGATGTCATCACTATGATGTCACCGTGATGACTTCACCCCGATGACGTCACCCCCATGACGTCACCCGATGACGTCACGCCCATGACATCACGCCCCACCCCCCCCCAAATAAACCACGCCGAGCGCTCCGCCCGTGACATCACTTCCTGTTGCCGACATCACTTCCTGCCCCGCCCCGCCCGTGGGAGGAGCCCGGGGCTGGGGGGGCGGGGCCGGGCGGGGCCGGGGGCGTGTCCCGGCGCGGGGGGCGTGGCCGGGGGCGTGGCTCAGAGCTGCCCGCGCGCGTGGCGCATGTAGTGCTCGTGCAGCTCGGCCACGCGGCCGAAGGCGCCGGCGCACTCGGTGCAGCGGAACGGCGGGGGAGGGGCGGCGGGG